CCGTTCCCCGGCACTAATCACAGCAAAAAGAGAGGGGCGTTATTTTCCAACAAAAAGGGGAACCTGAGCCCCCAGTTTCCAGCTCGCTGCAGTTTTCTGCCTGTCCATGGCTGTGGCAAGTCTCTGGGCGTCACCCCAAGGTGACCCACGCTGGGGACCCCGAGGGGCACGTTCCCAGCATCGACCGGAGCCCGCCCAGGCTCTGCTCTGGCTGGGGGGCCGTGCGTGGACGCCGCCATCGACTCTGCGCAGGGGACAGTTCGACGGCCGCAACGTGGCCGTGAAGCGCCTCTTGCCCGAGTGTTTCCATCTCGTGGACCGCGAGGTCCAGCTGCTCCGCGAGTCGGACGAGCACCCCCACGTCGTCCGCTACTTCTGCACCGAGAAGGACAAACAGTTCCACTACATCGCCATCGAGCTCTGCTCCGCCACGCTGCAGGAGGTGAGCCCGCGGCCCTGCCCCTGCGCGGGGCGGCTGCTGGGGGGCTCTGGGTCAGTCCCGGTGTCCCCGTCCCTGCCTTTGGGGGTTGGTGCCCAGGGACACGCAGCGCGTTTCGCCTGCGCTGGTTGGAGGCTCCGGAGCGCTCCCGTGGGGCGGGGGGCTGTGCGTGCCCGAGGGCGGGGGTAGGAGCCCTCTTTGGGGTTCCTGCCTGGCCCCGGGGGTGCAGCCCTGCTCCGACCCTGCAGTCAGGGGGGACGGGGGCCGCATCGGGCATGGCCGGGCTGCGCAGCACCGTGGGAGCAGGCAGCAGCAGCACTGCTCCATGTCAGCCAAGCCCCTGCCCCTGTTCTCCTGCTGATTTGCCCCCTCGGGAGGGTCAGGGCAGCTCCGAGCCTCGGCAGCGGTCGGGGCGATTGTTCATGTGCTGGGGAGAGACGGGCACGGGGGAGGAGAAGGGTCCGTCTACCCCTCCCTGCAGCAGGAGCGTGGCTGGGGCCGCGCAGGTCCCGGGACAGGGGCAGGAGGTGCTGGCAGCAGCAAGCCCTGGGCACAGATGGCCTCGGCGTGGACTTGCCTCCTTCCACCCCTGCCAGCCTAGTCAGAAGTGAGAATTTTGCCAAGAAAGGTTGGGCCAGGTGATCCTGGAGCTCCCTGGTGTTCTGTGATTCGCGCTGCCGGGAAGCCTTGCCTGCTGTGCCCCGGTTCATCCCTCTCTACCTCTGTGTGGTTCCAGTACGTGGAAAACCCCGACTTTGATCGCAGCAGCCTGTGCCCGGTGTCTGTGCTGCGCCAGACCATGTCCGGGCTGGCCCACCTCCACTCCCTCAGCATCGGTAAGTGGGCAGCGGCTGGGAGGGCAGCGTGTCCCCGTCCTGCTCCCGTCCTCCGCCGAGGCCGCGGGGCCAGCAGTGTGCGGGCAGCAGGCAGAGCCTGTCCCCCTCCAGCCCTGCCGCCGCGCTGGCGGGTGAGCCTGCGCCCTCTCTCCTCCAGCCCACCGGGACCTGAAGCCCTGCAACATCCTCATCTCCGTCCCGAATCGCCACGGGAAGATCCGAGCCGTCATCTCTGACTTCGGCCTCTGCAAGAAGCTTCAGGGGGGACGACAGAGCTTCAGCCTCCGCTCCGGCATCCCCGGCACCGAGGGCTGGATCGCGCCCGAGGTGCTGCAGGAGGCTCCGAGGGAGAACCCCGTCAGTGAGCCGCGGATGCCCCCCGCCTCGGGTCCCCCTCGAGCCCCGCGGTAGCCCGGCGGCCTCGTGGCGTGCCACTGGAACACACAACTGAGATGAAAGCTGCGAGAGCCCAAGCCAGCCCCGAGGCAGAGCACGGGGGCTCCTCGCCAGCACCGCCCCTGCGCTCCACGGCACCCGCCTGCCTCCAGCACACACCGGGCGTCTCACCTGGCTGCAGGCCCTGGAAATTCGGGGCAGGGAGGTCGCAGGGGGCCCTGGCACACTGCCGAGGTTATGCCTCTGCCCCTCTGTTGAGCCCAGGGCAGCCTGGTCCTGCCGGGGGCCGGTGCTGTGCTGGTCCTGTACTGGGGTCCGGCTGCGCTGCGGGGTGACACCAGCAGCCCTGGCGTGTCCGTCTGGCCGCAGAGTCCTGCATTCTGTCTGTGCCGCTGGAGACCCCCAGGAAGGGCCCGACGCGCTGGGTCCTTGCCTGGCTCCAGAGCGCAGGACGGGCAGGAGCCCTGCGGCGAGGGGCTCCCCAGCAGCTCTGCGGGAAAGGACCCAGCGGTCGATCACAGCGAAGCCCGGGCAGGGGGGGAGGCGAAAGCTTTCCTCACTGCGAGGGTCCCAGCCCCTGCTCTGTTTTGCAGACCTGCGCTGTGGACATCTTCTCCGCCGGCTGCATCTTCTACTACGTGGTGTCGGGGGGGCAGCACCCGTTCGGGGACAGCTTGCGGCGACAGGCCAACATCTTGTCGGGCTCTTTCCAGCTGAGCTGCCTGCAGGAAGAAGCCCACGGTGAGACCCTTCCCCACAGCCCCGTCCCCGCGGGGAAGCGCTGAGCCGAGGGGCGCAGCTCCTGCTCCATCCCAGGGGGGTCAGGTCTCCGGTGTGGTGTTTCTCCTCCCAGACAATCTTGTTGCACGAGAGCTGATCGTGGCCATGATCAGCCCTGAGCCCCAGCGCCGACCCTCGGCCCCCGTGGTCCTGGCACACCCCTTTTTCTGGAGCCCGGAGAAGCAGCTGCAGTTCTTCCAGGTGAGCGTGCGCCGTCCCCACAGGCAGCTCTGAGAAACGAGGGCTGGGAACAGCCGTGTTTAGGTCAATACGCTCGTTTTGAGCTGCTTTTGGAAGGAGTGTGGGTTTGGGGTCCAGGCTAAGCTCTTCATCCTCTCACCTTGGCGCCGGCTCCGTTCCCTGGTGCTGGAGGGGGTGGCGCGGGGCGAGGGCCAGCACCGCACCCACCCCGGTCCCCGCTCTCGGGCGCACAGGACGTCAGTGACCGCATCGAGAAGGAGCCGGCCGAGGGGCCCATCGTCGCAGCCCTGGAGGCGGGGGGACGGTGGGTGGTGAGGACCAACTGGAGGATGCACATCTCCCTCCCGCTGCAGACAGGTGAGCGCATGGGGGCCGGGATCGCCGCCGCCTTCCATGGGGAATCGGGCAGCGACTGGGGCTCCCCAGTGCGGTGCCCTTGACCGGGCCGGGGGCACCTGCTCGTGCCCAGGAGCCAAAACCCAGGGTGGGTGAACGCACCAGCCCTTCCCGGGCAGGGCAGAGCCCGGGTTTGGTGCTGGCACAGGGGCTCGGGGCAGCGCCTCACCCCAGCAACGCCCCCCTCACTCAGCATCTCTCCTGCTCCCCCCAGACCTGAGGAAGTTCCGGACCTACAAGGGGGGCTCGGTGCGTGACCTCCTGCGGGCCATGAGGAACAAGGAACAAGGTACGGCCGCCCCGGCTCCCCATGCCCCATCGCCCGCCCGCGCCCGCTCACCTCGGCCTCTCTCCTGCAGAAGCATCACTACCACGAGCTGCCGGCCGATGTCCGGGCGGCCCTGGGCTCCGTCCCCGAGGGCTTTGTGCAGTATTTCACCTCCCGCTTCCCCCGGCTGCTGCTGCACACGCACGGGGCCATGAGGGTCTGCGCCCGCGAGCGGCTCTTCCACTCCTACTACTGCCACAGCCCGGGAGGTGCCGGCGAGTGAGCAGGGACACGCGCCGGGACGGCACCTGCGGCCACTCCTCCTGCCCTGCCCGTACCCGCAGCCCCATCCCGGGGTCCTTCCCCCCCTCGCCGGGGCGAGCTGGGGCACCAGGACGAGCCGGTCGCCTGGCGTGCCGGGGGGTTACAAGCAGGTCCAGAAGAGACAAGTGCAGGGGGGCACTGGGCTGTTGCCTGGGGGCTCCTGAGCCCAAGCAGGACCCTCTGGCACCCACCTTTTCAATCTCTGCGGTGGAGAGAGAAGAAAGAAGAAAATGCACGTTGCATTTTGCCGAGGGGAGCTGGCACAGCCACGCAGCCAGGCTGGAGCCGGGGCCCTGTGGGGTGTTCGCTGGGGATCAGGGAGCTTCATCCCCTGCGTCCTCCCACGCCGTGTCCCTGGAACTCCGTGTGTCCCGCACGGCTGTGACACACCAGTCCTGACACTGGAGAGGCTCCTCCAGCCCCGCGAGGGCTGCGGCACCCCGGGTCAGCTTTCAGCAGCCACCCCTGGGCTTGGACCCGGTTGCATCAGGGCTGCGGTGCCCCCAGCCCCACAGGGAGGCCTGGGGCCTCCTGCACTATCTGATAATGAAGCTTTTAATCTCAGCTGGGCTGAGAAAAAGGTTTTCTCCCTTTTGGTCACCATCAGCTTGTAGTTACAGCAGGGAAACCCTTTCTCACCAGATCCCTTTCCTCCAAACCCACCTTGCCCGCAGCTCCTGCCGCCTCTCCCGCTGCCCCACGGCAAACGCCCCCCTGTGTGCTGGGTTAGGGGGTGCCCACAGGCACGTTCCATAGGCACCAGCCTCCACGTGCAGCCCCCGCTGGCTCTGGGGGCAGCTGAGGCAGCAGCTGGAGCCCCTAGGGCAGGCTTCCCCTCGGGAGCAGCAATGATTTTGTACACTCTGATTCCTCCATGGGCTGGGGTGTGGGATTCTGTTACCTGGTTTGTTTTCAGAAGACTGCATGGCCTAGAGCATTTTATACAAGTTGTTATATAAAAAAAAAAACAACCAAAAAAAACAAACTGAAAAGCTTGTCCTGCTTAAAAATAAACTGGCCTAAGAGCACCAGTAGGTGCTGACAGTGAGCAGCGGTGGGAGAAAAGCCAAGGGAGCTTGTTGGGCTTCTGCTGAAGTCTGCTGCAGTCGATGACTTTTACTAACCCTACAGCACGTTTGTGAGCATCATCCACACAGTAAATGGAGCTGGTCTGAGGGGCAGGGGGAAGGTGAGGCTCTGAGCACAGCTGGGGTGCCCCCGAGGCCTCCTGCAGCACCGCTGGGGAGATCAGCATCTCCCCAGTCAACTTCAACTCCTCCCTGCTTCCCCTGGTGACCTGCCCCTGGCTCCCCCTGGCTCTGTGCTAAGCCGAGCAAGGCCAGAGCTCAGCAAGGCCGGGGCTGTTTGTAAACACAACCAACTCGTGAGGAGAACAGCTCCTGCTGCTCCCTCCCAGGCAGCCCCAGGGAACCAGGACAGGCTGGGCGGTGCAGCAAACAATCTTTAATCAAGTTATGCAATATACAAAAGTTATTTCACGTAGAATAGTTTCAGTATTAAAAGGCTGACTGCTCAGTCTCACCCTGGACATGTTGAAGGTCTTACCTGAACTTCTACAAGAGGAAACAAAAGCCTGGAGCATCAGCACAGACACGTACAAATAATTTACGACAGTTCTGCCTCTCTTCAAGAGAGGGCCCAGGAGTCTCAAACAAGGTGGTTTTGTCGAGTCAGGCTTTTGGCTTTGGGAAGTTAGGAAAAAACAACTAGGTATGCAATTAAAAAACAGACATTCTATTAGGAACGGGGAGCAAGAAACCTTTGGGTGCCCATCGGGGTGACCAACGCCCTTCCCACAGTGTCAGGGGCTGCCTTGTGGCTACCAGACCCGCAGGTGGGGCTGGGGGCCCAGCTGTGCGACGGGAGGCTACAGCATGGGCAGGGTCCTGCGAGACCACCCTCCCCTCCCCAGCTGGGACAGTTTGGCACAAACGTCAAGTCCATGGAGAACAAAGTCTAAGCAGAGGGTTTCACACGGGCCGAGCCAGACTTCGAACCGAGGAGCTTCTCCACCATGGTGCGAGCGTAGCGCAGGCGGCTGGCCAGCTCCTTGCAGCAGCCGTGCTCCTCGATGAGGCTCAGCTTGTACGTGCGGAAGTCCCGCTTCTCGTCTATGTACGTGACGGCGGCCATGAGAGGGCACAGGATGACTTTGGTGTGATCCTGTGGGGACAGAGAGCGCACGCCGTCAGCCCGACGGCCTCGGTGTGGGCATGCAGGGACAGCGGCTGCTCGGGGTGAGCCCGAGGGCCGGCTCAGGGCACCGCGAGCGCGCAGCGGAGCCCCTCCTGCCACGGGACGCAGGTACGGAGGGTCTGGGTGGCTCCAGCACCAGGAAGGGGACCCAGTGCTCCCAGTTTTGGCTCCGGTTGCCCCCGGCCAGCCCCGCGGCACGCGGAGGGTCTCTTTGTGCAGCCGGAGCTGCGGTCCAGGGAAGGACAGAGCGGCCGCTTCACCTGGAAGAAGTTGATCTGGACGGTGCCGTTGCTGAGGTGCAGGACGATGGCGCTGCGGGTGCGGAACCACGTGCAGAGGTAGGGCAAGCGGGCCAGCTCGTCTCCTTCCCGCGGGGTGATGTTCGCCCCCGCCTTCAGCAAGTGCTCGCTCATATAGTTGCGGAAATATTTCAATAGTGTTATCTGCAGGTGGGAAAGGCCGTGAGCACACAGGCTGAGACCGACCCCCCGCTACGTGGGGAGGGCCGGGGCTGCCATCACAGCCCCAGAGCCTCCCTGCATCTGTCAGAGCTTTTGGCAGACACTCATGCAAATTCTCCAAGTCAACTCGGTCCCTCACACTTCAGACTCTTCTCCCTGGACCCCCCCCCCCCCCCC